CTTGCTCCGTGTTGTCCCTACCCAGTTTATCTTTGTTACCTGCGCCCCCGCCTCTCTTGGCCTGGCGGGCAGATGGCAGAGCCCAGGGACTGTCACTTCCCACGAGACGCAGCTCCAACGTGTGGACCCCCAGCTCGCGCCCAGCTGGAGTCTCGGCGCCGACCCCCTCCGCGTTAGGCCCCAGAACGGAGGCAAAGTTCGGGGCCAGTCTCTGCAGCGCTGGACCCTGAGGCTGGCGGGGCTCCGGGCTCCCGGCTGGCAGGTGCTGGAGCGCTGAGGGAGGAGCCACGCTCCCAGCGGGTGGGCCGCACAGCGGGCGTCTGGCGCTGAGCGGGTTCCGAGGCTGGCGCGGCTCTGGTTCGCTTCCCCGCCGCGTCCCGCCCACCCACTCTCTCCGGCCCCCTAGCAGTCCTCGCAACCTCGGCGTCCCAGGAAAGGGTTCACTGAAAACGGACACTCAACTAAAAAGCGGTCCCGCAGACCTGAACCTTCGGGTTTGGGCTCCTCCGGGCTACTTGTAAGCGAAATGGGTACCCGAGAGGCTCAGAAACTGCGAGGTGGAGAGGCGGACACTCATTCTTCTGCGAGTTGGCCGACAGGCAGGCGGAAGATGAGGGTGCGTCCGGTTCCACCAAGGTCCCCCCCTTTGGCCCATTTCTCTCTGAGGACACTTCCAGAGCCCTTCTGCCGAGCCTTCTCCTCCAGCGGCGCTTCCTAAGCCGGGGCGGGGGTCGGCGCTCTCCCGGAGCCGCGCACATCGCGAGCTGCCTCGGTGGGCGCCGAGCCCCGACGTCTCCTCCTCACTACTCCCCTTTCCTGCTTCGGCCAGGAGCCGCGGGCGTGGGGCGGCCACGGGCCTTGGGACGAGGAGGGTCCCGGGGGAGAGGTACCGGGACTGGGATGCCTGGAGCCACGGACTAACTTCTGCAGCCCCGTGGGTCCCAGCAGGAGTCCAAAGGGGTGAGGCTGAGCTTCCGCCGGGCGCCTTCGCGGTCGCCGAGGTTTCTCGGTCCCCGAGCCCGGACGCCTGTCCCTAGCGCCCCAGGGCAGCAGAGAGGCAGGAGCGAGCGGCGGGGAGAGCTAGAAGTGTACCCGCCCGGGCGCGGAGGGTTGGGAGCCCACAGTTTCGACGCTCAGCGCAAGGAGGAGAGGGGGCCCAAAGTCCCCAGGCGGGACCTAGAAAGGGCAGTTAAATCTTCTTGCCTGAGTGAAATGCTCAGAGAATCCGGGCTTTTGCAGTTACTGGTAAGGGTATCAGTGGAGGCGACGAAATTTCGCTTGACCTAGCTGCTTGAGGGGGGGGGGGGGAAAGTTTGCAGAGACACAAGCCCTTCTCCTGTAAGGAAACCTTGGACGTCGTGGGCCTCCTCAGGCCACCTCTCCCAGTCCTTTTTCTAGATAGTAACTAGTAACCCAGGGTTCCAGAACCTATTTGCGAGAGGAGTTCCTCAGAAACAAATTTCTAGCGTAGGCAGCCAAGGCCTACGTTCCCATTCTATGTGCGACCTTCTCCCACCCTTAAAGTTCAGTCACCTGCTTAAAGCACCTGGAGGCTTCTAGGGCAAGCCTTCTGAAGATATCTCCGCCCACGAGGATTTTGCTGTTCTTTTAAACGTAAAGCAACGTTTATTCCGGAATGAGGGAAACCTAATCGTTTTTCTAGATTGAGTTAAAAACTGTCTTAAACTTGAGAACTTTCTAGAAAGTGGCAAATTTACAAGGAAACAATTTCGGCCAAGAACCATCCTCATCTTAGGGGTCATACACTTTTCTTAGGGGCGTCAGTAATTCAGAGTACTTAATGGGAATTGCAAGTGTTGGAAAAGTCACATCCCCAAGAGGACCAGCCCTCACAGGGGACAAGAAACTTCCCCGGAGGCCAGTGGCTAATGTTTCCTCCCAATAGATCAAGAAAATCCAAGCAACTGGGTTCCAAATAATTTTTCTCCTTGAGTTCCTGTCCTGTTCTTAAAGGAATCCTTTCTCCCAGTCTCCCTAGCCCAGTGGAGTTTTTGTAACCCTGAGAAGAGTTCAGTTTGCCTGGGGAACTCCCCAATGTTTGAAGCAATGTCTCTTTTCTGCTTTAGTTGGATAATTCAGGGTAGAATTTCCTGGCCCAGTGGTTCCTTTTAGTGTATTTTCCCAGGAAAATGGACCTTAAAGCTCTTTAATTTGACCACTGGTTGTATCTAAAGGGATTCATCACAGCAGCACAACCTCAAAATTCACCTCTCCCCTGTTGTAAGGAGTGTGGTTTTATTCCTTTCCAGCACCCAATTTAAGCTTCAGCTCTAGAGAAGGGGTGAAGCCCACCATTAATCCTGTGGTCAGAGTTCCAGTTTTTCCCCAAGACCAGGCTTTTGGAAAGAAGATCCAAAGTTGCAAGTAGTTCAGGGGAAAGTCCTTTCCCTGATTGATGAAACTTCTCCCTCCCCTCCCCTTCTTAAATAATAAACTCACCGGGAAAGGCTGGAGGGCTGGCCTGTATTGGTTTCAAATAAATCCTCAACAGCTCTTTCCTCACCCAGAGAAATGAATCACCCTTGGGAAACAGACGATTATTCCCCCATTTGTCTGCCGAAGACCCCGGGAAATAAGCACCCTCCACTGTAGACCCTCACTTTGGTCTTTCTTCCTGGCTGTAGGGGAGTTTGCGGGGACAGGGGAGATGGAGGTGGATGAGTTAAATAGAACCAGGACCCACTGAGATGCCCTCCCAAGGGCAAGTGGTGGGGAGCCCAGGGAGGAAAGGGCAGATAATTCCTAGATGCCCCGCTATCCATGCTGGATCCTGGAAAGAGACAGCTCTATTGGTCTGCAGTGGAAACCACTAGCTTCCTCACTGTGAAGAGGAGTTTAAGCCTCAACAAACTCATGTGATGTTACATCTAATCCAGAGGCCAATTTCAGGGTGGTATACTTCAATCAGATTTCCATTTTCCTTAGTAAGAAATACAGGCTTGTGCCGTTAGTGTTACTATCATCACTAGATTGCGATTTTTTTTTTTTTTGTCCTGTGTAAACGAATAAACAAAACCTTCTTGTTGGATCACTTTTGCTCCTACAAACTATATGGCACTATTAGGGGACTGGGAGTGAGAGATGAAGAGAGAAAAGTAATTGATTAAAATGACCCCTGTCTTAGCCATCATTTACATAGCAGCTGCCCAGTATATTCAACTAATCAGACTTGCAATCTAACATAGGAAAGAAGGGAGAATTCCTGCTGTAAATCTTTGAGATGCCGGGACTTAAGAGGTGGTTGGCCTCATCGGAGCTCGCCTTACAAAGCACAGTGGCCTTCCTTTCTGTGTGGGTCACACAGCCAACAGGGGCAGGCAGAAAAGTGGGTATTATTCTATTATTTTCTAGGACCCTCTTTGTTGACTTTAAAAACATATACTGGATTTTAACCTGTTTATTTTTTTTAAAGGCCACATGGTCAATTTGTAGTAAAAAGAAGTTAACTTACTGCTTCATTCCTGTCTGTTGTCAACACACACAGCCTCTCATTTCCTGTCACTTTGGGTTTTCAGATTACTTTTTTAAAATCTCAATTGCTGAGTTTATGAGTGTCTGATTACTGCTGAGAAATAAGGAGCTCAAATATCACAAGACTACCAATGTGGACAATGCCCCCATTTGAAAGACATCTGGTTGTAATAATTAACACCAATTTATCGGACCTTTTTACCTGTGAATGACCGGAGAAAACTCTTTGTATCTGCCCACCCGTCCAAATCTCTCACTCACTGCCAGATACACCTTACCGGGTCCAGGCATTTTTTACCCACTACCCGCATCTTCAAAAATTTTAGGCAAAAGCAAAGCCAGGATTTAAAGGTTCTTTTTTATTTGAAATCTCATCCAGAAACACTGGTTTTTAATAAATATATCATAGTTATCAAGAATATATAAAAAATAAAGACAGGTATTGTCTTTGAGGCCCTAACAAAATATTTCAAGCAAATGTTCAGGAAAATAAAAACGGCACCCCTCCCCAAACCACGATAACTTTTCAAAGCTGATGATAGAGAGAGCTGACCCCGCATGCAGAATCACTGAGCAAGTGGGGGATGGGGCAAGCTAGTAGAGGGAGCCCAGGCTCTGGTGATAGCTGGCCCCTAGGACAGCCTAGGGATGGAGTTTGGGAATTGAGTTATAAGGGGGGGGGGGTGGGGGGAAGAAGCGCCTGTGCGCGAATTTGGGTCTTTGCACTCTGCCCCCCTCTTTTCATTTCAAACAACCACAGACAGATATATGGATACTTGGGAGGATTCACTAATAAATCCTTGTTACAAGGAAAATGGCCTCGTGGCCTGCACAACATGTTTAGATAAGATTCATTTAGAAGCGTGCATGCATTCTTTTGACCTACACTGCGTCTTAAGGAAAACCCACATAAGAGATGTCATGCCCTGGACCGGAGTTGAGATTCAAAACTTGGGTCTTGATCAATCTCTCTCGCGCTCTCTCTCTCTCTCTCTCTCACTCATTGTCTCTAGAAAAACAACTGTGGAGAGGATAGCGACAGTGGTAATTGCATCCATCTCAAGGAAATATTTACATTTGTTTTGCAAAAAAGGGATGTTGTCTTTTCCAAGGGGAGAACGCAGAGCCAGAAAAAACCAACTCTAAAGTCCCTTCGCAAGTTTTTAACCGCACCGATCCCGTCTTTATACAACAAATGCAGTTTTGACAAGAGCATATGTAAGTGAGAAATAACTGGCGCGGCATGGGGAAAAGAAGCATGCATGCAAAACACACGACGTCTGATTCCAGTCCCCCTTCGTTACCACCTAGAAATTGCAGTTTGGTTTTGGTCCTTTCCCTCTGGGGGTCTAGTGGGATCTGAGATCTCTCACACGGCGTGGGAGGCCGCAGGACCCCACGCTCACCCTCCCGCCGGCCGAGTGCTCAGCCCCCTCTTCCTCCTGGCCCAGCACCGCAGTCCCTCCCGCCTCTCTCCCCTCAGCCTCGGCAGCCGGTCGGTCCGCCGCTCACTTGAGCAAGTCCTTGGACTCGGCCGACAGCCGAGCCATGTTGGCGGTGGAGAGAGCCGAAAGGTGGGGCGGCGGCGGCATCTGGCAGATGGTGCAGGGGCAGGGCAGCCCGGCCCAGTGCTGGAAGCCGCTGCCCAGCTGCAGCGCGGGCTGTGTGGAGGGCGCCTTGAGCAGCGAGTGGGGAGGTCGAATAGTGCCGATGGCCGGCAGCGAGGCGGCGGACAGCGGGGACGAAGCGTTGCCGGATGAGAGCGCGCCGCCCAGGATGGGGTGCACAGCGTGCACGGCGTTGGCGGCGTGTGCTGGGTGGCCGGCGGAGTGGCCCACGGTCCCGCAGTGGAAGGCAGAGTGGTGGCCCCCGTAGATCTCGCCAACCAACCTCTTCATCTCCTCCAGGGAGCTGGTGAGCATGAGGATGTAGTTTCTGGCCAGCAGGAGAGTGGCGATCTTGGAGAGCTTGCGCACCGAGGGCCCGTGCGCGTAGGGCATGACCTCGCGCAGCCCGTCCATGGCTAGGTTTAGGTCGTGCATCCTCTTGCGCTCGCGGCCGTTGATCTTCAGCCGTAACTGCTGTAGGTCCTGCTCCGACAGCTGCTTCTTGATTTTGTACTTGCTGCTCTCGCCCGTGGCCTTGGCGCCGGCCCGCGAGAGGCTTTCCCCAGGCATCTTTTGCACCATGTCGCCCTGCGTGGAAGAGACCGAGTTGAGACGGCTCTCCTGGTGGTGGTGGTGGCGGTGGTGGTGTTCCCTCAGATACATCTCATCCATGTCCGGCGATGAAGCTCTGCTGGAGACAGAGCTCGAATCAGAATTCATTTTATTACGGGGGATGCGGCCCTACCGTGGGGAGGATTTAGGTGGAAAATTAAAGAAAATCTTGAATTTAGAAAAATCTGCACCGCCCAGCGACCCACTTCTCAGCGGCAAGATGTGAGAAGAAAAGCTGAGGCGCTGCTTTCCCCCCCGCCTTTCTCCCTCCCCACTCCCTTCTCTCGGTTCGGCTGTTTCTTGGACCCCGGGTTGGTGTATGCTTGGACTAACCTCACGCTGAAAAAGAGGGGCTTTTATAGAGCCGCGCCGGAGAAAAGAGACAAAAGGAACCCTCCTATCTATCCTGGGCTGGTTAGGATGACGTGCCATCATTCAGGGCGGTGCGCTTTGCTGTCCCATTTAGCAAGGATTCCTATTCATATTCATTGTGGGGCCGCCCTGGGACACCTCTGCTCAGAACCGCTAGGAGCCCCAAGGCACAAAACCCTCTGATTGACACACTCACCGCTCCAGCTCGCTCCTTCCTGATTTTTTTTTTTTTTAACTTTACTCCCCCTCCCCCTCAATTTCCCCAACCAAGTCACACCTAAGGAACAGCGGACCGGAAGGAAAGGGGGCCGGGCTGTTGTCGAGATTCCTCTGGGTTTGGAGAGAGGAATGGAAACCTTCTCTTTTCTTCATAGCAACTCCCAAGTTTTGGGAAATGTGAGCAAAAGAAGTCCTATGGAACTGTTTCCAGAATAGAGATGAGGTTGGAGGGCAGCTTCCACGCGCACGGTGGGGGCTGTTGGTGGGAAAGAGAGGGGGACTGCGTGTCAATGTGCACTGTCTGAACTGGTTTGCGTTAGATTTATTTTCCTAATCCCTGACATTGTGTTCATTTTGTTTATTGGGACGTTCTAGTGTGGTTTCAATGGGTTGTCCATATCTGGTGAAGGGTTTGCCTCTGACACGGTTGTGGGATGGGTCTGTTGTTTTTGTTTTTGCTTTTTTGTTTGCTTGCTTGTTTGTTTTGGTCCTCTCGTTTAAATAAACAGATTACTGAAAGAATTTGCTTTGCACAATTCTCTAACGTCTTAGACCTGGATCTGAGTTGGGGTTGGTGGGGGCGAGAACAAAACCAAAAAATCCAACCCTGGCATTCGGACAAGAGCAACTCGAGAAGGGGAGGGGAGGAAAAGGAGATGAGGGGACAGGGAGAAATTGGAAAGGTTCCCAAGAACCCCAGAGAGAGTCTTCCTGTTGGGGCTACCCCGTAACCTCCAGACCTTGGCGCTCCCAGAAACTGCTGGGGCAGTCCCTGCTACTTGCTCCGCCTGTGGCCTCTGGCCACTGTGGCCACTCGCGGGGCGGGGGGGAGCATCTGCAGCTTGGTACCACCGGCTGGAGCGTGTAGGTCCACGGGGTGAGGCCGCCCCACTCCGGTGGGCCAGGAAAGTGGGCACTTGGGGTAGAATAAGAAACGATATGTGTGTGCGTGGTGTGTGTGTGTGTGTGTGTGTGTGTGTGTGTGTTCCGCAGCGAAAGGATCTGGAAAGCCCCTTAGGCGTGTGCTTGTGGGCACTGCGATCAATTGCACCGTGGATTCTGGGGATAAAGGAGGCCTGGAGTTTGGAACCTTCGGTTCCAATACGGAGGTCGGCGCGGATCTTTCTTCCCCCTTGCTGTGTTTTTGTCAATCGCGACTAACTAAGCAGTGTGAGGGGCGGGAAAGGCAGAAATCCCCGGGAGCCCCTGGGTGGCCTCTAGAAGAGCCTGGGCACAGCCATGCTCTGGGCTCGGAGGGAGCAGAGACAGATGCTAGGATGTGGCTGAGGGGATGGAAAGTGTGAAACGGAAGCAATCCCTGAATCTATCCAGGAATCTGAGTCAGTTAGTCAGTTTGCATTTCTAAGACTCGAGGTAGTGGAAGCCTCACTTTCAATAGACACAAATGGAGCCGTCAACAGAAGAGGGCTGTATGCCTAGGCCCGGAGTCTGCTGCTCTGCGAAGCTGTGCCTCTTTGACAGTCTCCCCCCCTCCCCAAAGCTGCACTTGGTAGTAGCAGTTGGATGGGGAGATGCAACGTTGGAATGGATGCTTTTCTACATGGAACTTTGCTGCTCTGTAGGAAAAGAAAATGGCCAAGAGATCCCCTGCAAGGCCAGGACCTTGGTGTCCTTGAAGACTGGACGAAAGCCTCCTATCCTCCTACGGCTTCCATCTCCGGAGAAGGAAAATTTATTAAAACGAAGAATCCCAGACATTCGATAGGATGTGGAAAGATTGATGTACAAACGCAGTTCTAATATCCAAGCCAAAGAAATGTTTCTTAATTCGCCAGACACATCCATTCGAGCTCAGACAGCAACAAACCCCGAACAACTTAGGAGAAAAAATGTTCCAGAACATCTGCATGTATTCGGACACAGTCCCAGCTGATGGAGGGTGGGGCTGGGTGGAAAGGCGTGTCCAGGCCACCGCCCTCTGTGCTTCTCTGCTGATCCTACGGGCTGGCCGGGGAGCCCTACACTGGAGGACAAGTGGTTTCCCAGCTTCCGGGCTGATTCTCAGGCCCGGCCCCCGCTGTCGTCCTGTACCACCTTCCCGACCCTTGGACATCGACTTCTTTTTTTCCTCATGACCAGACTGAGAATACTGTACCTCAGTTTTGATTTCGGGAAGTAGCGAAGTCGACTTTGAGTGACGGATTGCAAATGAAGTAGAAAAAAATCAAGCTGCTAAAAGGTATTTTAAGGTTTAAAAAAAAATCTCAGTGTTCCCAGTGGACAATATGAAATAAGGTGTAAAGTTTCCTCAAATTAATAGAGGTGGTGGCAGGGGAGGAAAAGGGAAGCAGTCCTTAAAATGCAAGCTGAACAACTCACTTTAGGGCCTGGAAAGACAAAGCCCAGGGTTCCGGGAGTCCGAACCAGAAGTCGCTCTTCCTCCACACTCCCTTTCCACCGGGTGGGGGACGCTGGCCCCTGTGGCCAGAGCGGAGGGAGGCCGAGTTAGGCGCGGAAGGGGTGCCGGGTCTCTGCTTACGTGGACCAGACCCCCTCCACTCTTAACGGATTTTTAGCTCAGTTAAAGCGAAGGTAGATCTGACTGACACGGCACATCTGTCGTGCCCAGGCCAAGGGCCCTCGGTCCTGATCCAGGACGCGGCGCGCCCTCTCCTCCCTGCTTTCCTCATAAACCTCTACACGTGTAGATAGATGGTCCAAGGTCCAGGGCCCAAGTCAGGCAAGCACTTCTGGTGAGGCCTTCCAGGGGCCCCCACTCTCCTACTAGGAGGCTTGTTCCCCATTCCCTATCTCTTGGAGGGATTAACAGCGAGAGGAGGGAGAAGGAGTAAATGAGCCACAACTTTGCTCTCCATAAAGTGGGTTGATACTGATCGCGGCTCAAAAGACAGGGGCGCCCCACCTATGCGCTTGCCTAGCGGAGTCGCTTTGGACTCGGGATCCCGCGCAAATGCCTCTCAGCCCTAAGCAGGAGCAGGCAGGGAGCTCAGAAGACAGAGCTGCCCGAGTTCCTTCGAAAAGCTGTCTCTGCCCTCGCCCATGCCCGGCGTCAGCACAGGGGAAAAGTAAGGGAGCCCGCACTGGGCCGAGGCTGCAGCAGTCCAGAGGGGCCGCGGCAGCCGGGAGGGGCCGCGGCAGCCCGCAGGGGCCTCAGCCCGAGTCTCACCGTGACCTTGGCCCTGGCCAGGGACCCATTCAGAGGGCTTCAGACAACCAAGGAGCGGTAGCGAGCGACCCGGCGGCTGCGCGGGGCCGCGCTCTCTAGGGCCACACCCCGCGCCCTGGCAGCTAGCGGGCGCAGGGGGCGGCGCGGAGGCGGGGGTCGTCCTTCCGCAACAGGTGCGTCCCAAGGCCCGCGGGCCACTTCCCGCCACTCAGTCTGGCTCTGGGCAGAGCCTGTGAGTTTCTCAGTCTTTGTACTACCCGAGCCAGCGACGGGGACCCGTTCTGGAGAGCCTCGCAGCCTTCCCCTCGCGCCCCGGGCGCACAGCCTCAGAACTGCAGCCCCGGCTCCCAAGGACCGGGGGCTCCAGAGGCATCTCCGATCTTCCTGTCTCCCCGCCCCGAACCCAGATCTCCCGGGGAGCATCTCTTACCCTAAGCCGGGTGCGAGCGGCTCGGTGCCGGCGCCCACCGCTCCGCAGCTCTAGCCACCGGGCTCCTCTCCAGAAGCTGCTCTCTCTGCCTGAGGCCGCGGCGATTGGGGCTCAGGAGGCAACAACCTCCCAGCGCTGGCTGACCTGCCGGGTGGCCACTGCGAGGAGCCGGTCAATCAGCAGCTTCCAGGGGCTCCCCTCGCTCGGCAAGCCTCAAACTTGACGGGTAGAAACTTTGGCCGAGACCGAACGGCGGGAGGCTGCCCTGGGCGCTTCACCTTTTAACCCAACCCCCCTTCCAAAACAAAAAAAGATACAAGGGAAACCCAAATATCTCAAAGGGTGTTCCCTCAAGAGCAATCGAAGGAATAGACTAAAAACTAGCTGACCACTGAGGACTTCTCCAAAAGTAGTTTCTTTATCCGAGTAAAACAATCACTTCGCCACAATAGCCGTGGGGGGCGGGTCATCGAGGCTGTTAGGTTGATCAAAGAAGCCGTTACAGAGAGACCCAGAGAGAGAGAAGTTTTATAAAAATCAAATGTCAGCATAAATCGCAGCCAGGCAGGAATTCTCTCTCTCCTCTTGCAGCAGCGCCCGCCTGGAGCTGGAGTGTGGAGAGAGCACTGAGCTCGGAGCCCTGCGGTTGGAGATGCCAAAATTGAAATCCCAACAATTAAGTAGGTGCTAGAAGGGCCGGAGAGGATGGATCTGAGCTGACCAACTAAAATGTTTCCGTTTTCTGGGTTTCCCCATATTTTACATAATATCTTGAACGTTCACCGATCCGTCTAGTATTTCCCCTCATCTTTAAAAAATCTGACTTTCATACAGGAAAAAGCAGAAGTTGAAGGACAAGCAGAAATTTATGAGGCGATAGTAACTGCTCTTTGCATTGCTGGATGTGAGATTGGAAGGTGTAAGGAAGTCCCAGAATAGCACAAAATGATGAGGTGTTAATTAT